TCAGTTCCTAAGCCCCTGTCCTTCAACTTTGTCTGCCAACCCTATAGACATTGTTATACGGCTTTTGAGGGCCCTGATTGCACCGCTATGGTCATTTTTATACCCTGATGAGAACTCTTACTTGTGACGTTATTCGACACTCTGTGGAGAGTGCAGAAGACCCTAAATAAATGGTTTTGAAGGTCGTGGATGTAGTTGTTATCTGTAGTGGTCTGGCTACCCAATAAGTTAGTTTGCCAGAAGTGTGCGGCAAAGAAATAAAAATAATTACGCTGGGTTGGGTATACAAAAATAAAGAAGTCAGATGAAACAGACTCACTAACAATTGTTTTCTTTAAAATAGTTCGTCGTTGGCCCAGGTCAGCGAATAAACAATATTCCAATTTTGTTGGTCCAGAGGTCCTCTTCTGAACAGTTCCCACATATAATAGATTCCGAAGATGTCTGAAGTGTTTTGGTACCAGAGTTAGTACATGAGACTCGCGAATGACCGCTGCAAGCGCGAGCGAAATCAGAAGAGAGAGTCGAAGCACGTGACCAAGCTTGTGTTTCGTGAAATTGTTCAAGTGCGCGTTTTTGTAGTTTTTCGTATTCAAACAAAAAACGATTACGCAATTGATGAAATACGTAGTGTTATAATGGAGGTAAAATAAAGGTACAAAACGCCACATATCAATCCTCTTCAAGTCTCCCTCAAATCTCCATTTTCACCCGGCCAGGTGATGCCTGAAATGTATTCCGACAATCCAATTAGACATTTATGGTATACATGGAGCACTGGGTGTGGTGAAATTATCGCCCTCGTGTTAACTTTAAACATCCCGATAAAACGAACACGCAGCCCCACAATGCACTGGTCACAGAAATGTGTATTCCAAAACGAATTAGAGGCTCCACTTTCGTCCAGCCTCCGTTTTAAAAGCCTGAAGCGCAAGGCGGTGGGTTTCATAGTTTTCTTGAGGGATCCTTCCTGGAACCACTAACTCAATAATCCGCTCCAATTGGCTGTAGATAACTGGATTTGCTCAAGAGCGCGTGTTGTGTCTTGCTGAACGATAGTGCAACTCTGCATGTGTCCTTTGTCTTCCTGCTCCGCCCACTGTGGTATATCAAAAGGCACGGTAGCTGTACACAGCCCTTTATAGAGACAAAGGAAAATTACTACAGCTGCATTTATAGGGTACTCACGGGTTTTTCCACAAGGTCGTGCTTGGATCTCCGTGAGGAGACCGTCTTGGGACTACGTCAACGACCTCCCAGACGTTTTTGCGAGTCCATGTTTACTTTTTGGGGACGACTTGAAATCCAACGCCAGTGCCCTCCAAATGGATGTAAACGCTGCCAAACAGTGGTCGTTGGACTGGCACCTTCCTCTGAATGATGAAAAGTGCGTCCATGTGTCGTTTGGAGGGGATTCAGCGAATGCCTTTGTTATGCATGGTGAAAAGGGACCAGAAAACATCATGAGGATAGATGCCAAAAAGGATTTGGGCATCTGGGTCTCCTCAAACTTGCCCTTCTCACTACACCATGAGAAATCGGCCCAAAAGGCATTCGCCATTTTACGGATGATCCGACCCTCCGTTTGGTCTGTGTCCTGCACGTGACACATCCGTCCAAGTGTTGTGATAATCAGTTACTAGGAGCGGCTGGCCTCCGGACATTTCGCTGCGCAAAGCGTAACTGCCTGACTCCATTGCCACTGCCCACAGCTGTTGTTGTCCAATAAACACCAGATTCTTCGCCTTCAAAGGTGTTTAGACCGTGTTTAACAATGGTCATGGTCAACCGCTTGGCGATTGGGTTGTGTTGATTTTAGGGCGGGCCTTTTGTAATCCGTCCTTTGGGGCAGCAACGTCGCCGCTTCGATAAGTATGAGCACGCTTCTCGCTTGAAGGAACAAGCTTGCTACCCACCGTACTATCGCGGATTACAGCAGAGGAAGACTCGTCTTTCTCCGTCAGGCTGCTCTCCGCTGGCCTTGTTGGCATGATTAAACCCTACGGAACTGTGTTTCGGTCACTATAGGCTATATATAGCCTGCAGCGTCATTACAAAACCGAAGTTCAAGCACCAGGACAAGTTGACAGCTGAAGGTCGGATTGGACGTGATGTAGCGGACAAGGACCTAAGTATGCGTGTTAAACCCTACCTGTGTTTCGGTCACTATAGGCTATATATAGCCTGCAGCGTCATTACAAAACCGAAGTTCAAGCACCAGGACAAGTTGACTGACGAAGGTCGGATTGGACGTGATGTAGCGGACAAGGACCTAAGTATGCGTGTTCAATCAAAATATCAGATTAAAAATAACAAATGGCAATAGGAAGTGGACAAGTGAATGGAACAGACTCACTAAATTGGGGAAAATGTAACATCGATTTGCAAAACACCACAGT